AACAATGTCCAGTAAATAGTTGCGTAGTCCAAAGACGATCCAAGGTCAGGGGCAGGATGAAGTCACTCACGTAGAATGGTTCCGAAGTCAAGACACACAAGGCAGGATAGCTGGATACCAGGGACCCAAACAAAGGTTAGGCAGCACAAAGCACATAAACAACACTTTGTCTTCTGCAAGGCTACACATCCCAGCACTCCCAATTTATTGGCAGTCACTATCACTTGATTGGCTTTCATCACTAGCATCTGGATCATTTCCCTCAGCTGCTGACTCATTACCACGCCAACGCTGCCATCGTTGATCCAATTCCTGATCCTGCCAAGATGAACCTTCCTTCCATGTATCTTGGAACCCCTCGAACTCATCACTGGACGTGGCTTGGGTGCATATGTCCCTAATGTTCTTAAGAAGAGTCCAATCCAGTTCCTCCTCCATTTCTCCCTCACTGGCTTCCAATTCACCTGAACTGGAATTGTCAGCTGTATCTTTAAGCCTTTTACTCAGGGTGTCTTCATCACTGTCAGACTCACTGGCAACACGCTTTACTCCCCGGTAATCTGACTCTACTAGCTCCTCAGGGCCGAACCCTGCAAAGTCCTCCGAATCGCTTGGGGCCAAAATGATTTCACGAATGCGCTTCAGCTGACGCTGATCCAGCTCTGACTCAGCATCACTCCTCCTTCTCCTGCAACTGGTAGTAGATTCACTGCCGAGACGCTGAGCCTCAACAATTTAGATGTTGGATTTTGAAACAAATATTTGGCAGACAATGGCCTGAATCCCGCTACGTCAATATTACATAAATTCCATCAATTCAACAGGTTGAGATAACCAATTAGATCCAAGCCATTACCTATACATTTCTAAGTATTTATTTGCAATTAAAGAAACTGGGCAGCTTTGACCCATAGCTTGACAAAGTGGTGAAATCTTCAAATGACAGCAAGTACATAAATACAAAGAGCCATGTTGGAAGGACCAAGATATACCAAATCTATCATTTTGTTCATATAGTGGATGGCCAGCCAGTGACCTAAGTACCTCTGCCTGATACTGAGATGGGTATATATATCTATTGTCTAATTACTCTTAAATGACAGCCTGATTGCCCATTATTTTACTCATTTTTTCATCTAAAGTTCCTCAGGTTGACATCCATCCCTACATCTAGTCTCAGTGAATTCCAGTTTATGCACTGTGTGAAGGGGCACTTCCTTTTCTCCCTTTCTTCCTGCATTCCTCTATATAACTCTAGAATTAATATACTGTAGAAATAATGCTGCTTAAAACCATTTGAATTGCCATTTTACAAGGAGCACATCTACAATGATCATTCTGGTCAGTTTGGAACTGGTTTGGCTGAAACTAGTTTTTCTGCGTGGATAGTTAAAATGCCATTTCTGGAACAGGTTCAAGGCCAGGAAGGTAACTTTGGAATGTGGCCTTAAACCAGTTCCAGAATTTACAGCGTCTGTAGATTGATAGTCGCTAGTGTTGATTATTTTTTACCAATTTCTGGGCAAGATGCACAGATGCTTTGGAGGCATAGGAGGAAAGAAGAAGGAAAAGTGATATTAGCAGTGAAGATAATAAATTACTTGTTCCAGGAGGGTCGATTAGGCCCCTGCTGCCCAGCCATGCCCTTGGGGTGTTTCTTTTGGCAACCCTTAACTCCACGTGTGGGCAGGTGTCTACAATTATTGTCAAAGGCTTTCCAGGCTGGAATCACTGTGTTGTTGTAGGTTTTTTGGGCTGTAGGGCCATGTTCTAGAAGCATTCTCTCCTGACTTTTCACCTGCATCGATGGCAGGCATCCTCAGAGGCTGTAAGGTTGTGAGGAAACATCAGGCAAAATGTCAGGTGAGAATGCTTCTAGAACATGGCCATATAGCCCAAAAAACCTACAACAACCCACTGTCTACAATCAGCTTTGCATTCTGCAGAACTGATTTCGCCACATAATATGGTTTACATTAAGGGATCACTTATTGACATTCAGGGGCTTATCTTGGACTTTCTCCCAAATTTGCTTGATGTGCTTTAAAGACTTTAGCCCATGTTGCAGCACACTTTGGCATCATGCCTTTTTTAGCCTCTGAAGGTTGAAGCTAGCCTATGGTCAGTGTAGCTAAGCCCAAAGTGTAAAAGATTTGCTATTACTTATGCTTCTTGGTCATTTTAGTTGTCTATTTCTAGATCTAGATATCCTTTTCAGTATGGTCGCACCATAGATTTCTCTAAAAATAATACGATACTAACAGTTTTATTTTCATTTTCATCTCTTATCTTCAGTTTTATTGTAATACTGGTTAGCAATAGCAAAGACAATGGGCCTGAGATTATTTGCAACTTTGTTCCCTCTTTGGAAACATGCAGAATCACAAAAAGGGAACGATGTTTGTGTATATATTTAGCAGCAATTTCCCCTTATTTTGAGCAATACACATCGTCATTGTTATCTCCCCTCCCCATAGCTACAGATCACAGCAAAGGTGTTCCTCAAATTTCCTTTGTTCTCACACATCTTGATTGGGTAAACTGGGAAAATACCCCTTGTGTTTTAGAGCTGCATATAAAACCATTTGCTGGGACCCTTCCATTCTAAGGTTATGTACTTTACACACCTTCAAGAAATTCCTAGACAAAAGAATGAGGATATGCAGGTAAGTGGAAATGGGGAAATGTTCTTTTGGGAGGAGAAAAACAGCAGAATGCACCTTTGTGGAGACCACCTGGTTAACAAATGATGGGAAGTTTATTGAGTCAAAGATTTAGCAGTTATTTCAGTTATATGTAGCAAGGCACAAATTATTTCACTTACTAAAAATTATAATAATAACTATGTTGAGACCTTCATGGCACCTGGTTTGGGACAGAAATCATAGAATCATAGAGTTGGAAAAGACCTCGTGGCCATCCAGTCCTACCCCCTTCCAAGAAGCAGGAAAATCGCTTTCAAAGCAAATATAAAAAATTATATGACTATAAATTCTGACATAAGATAAAGGATGGTTTTATTTTGGTCAGATCGGACATTAGGAACATCAAATGATATATGAAATTACTTGTTTTTGTTAAGAGGTCAAAATCATCTGGAAATCATGTAGTTTTTCTAACTGTCATTTTGGATAATTTAGTGGATTGTTGGGATGACAGTACATGGGAGAGAAAAGAGCACTCTGGAAATGAAAAGGAGGGACACAGACTTCTAGATTCATGTCTGCTGTCTCATTGATAAAAGTTGTCTCTGAAATGAAGAGACATTGCAGATGTAGATAAAAAGGATATAATGAAAGTAATGCTGTGGATGTAGATTAGAATTACTTGTATTTGCATATATGAACATAATCAGATATCTTGGAGATGAGATCCATGTTTAAACACAGAATTCATGTATGTTTCATATGCAGTATGCATATGCAGTCAAACAGTTTTATTTACTGTTTGACCTGTTGACCTACTTGCCTCCCTGATAATTTTATGGACACTTCTGGTTTTCATTAGATTTATAAATCACACAATCCTGAAATTCTATTCAATTCATACCCTGCCATTATCCCAACATGGAATCCAAGAAAGTTTACAAAAAGTAATATGCAATTGGCTAGAATTCTTATTATACAAATTAAAAATTAACTAACATTATTAAAAAATAGTTAAACATTTAAAAACTGAGAAGGTTTTTAGACTTTTCTGATGCCAGCCAGCACACCCAAGAGCAAAGTAGGTGGTGTCTTGCATCTGGGAATGGCTTCAGCACAGGGTGGGGTGCGGGGAGAATGACAGGGGACTGCCATCTTTTCCTGAGCCTGGTGAATATGCGATGGCAATGAAGACAGCTGTGTCTGTTTCCGATCAGGAACTACCCACCTATCTTTACATATACTATGTTGCATTTCAACTATGGTCAGGATCCCTCCCTCCAACTTAAATTAACACAGGCAAAGGTTATGCTAAAGTAGACTGGCTCCAGATTAAGGCAGATCAACTTAAGTGATCAGGGTAGATACTCCCTAAGGGCAGACGGGACTCTGTACCCAATTATTTCCATCAGTGCCTCGAGGCTGTTACTGGATGACTGAGTGCCAGCAGGTTGAGGGTGAATCCAGCAAAGACGGAGATCCTATGGCTGGGTCAACCGGGCAGTGGGGACATCCAGCTGCCTACCCTGGATGGCGAGGCACTACGCCCATCCTCATTGGTAAAGAGTCTGGGAGTCCTTTTGGACCCTCTGCTGACGATGGAAGCCCAGGTCTCCGCCGTTAGCAGAACTGCCTTCTTTCATCTGCGGCAGGCTAGACGGCTGGCCCCCTTACCTGTCCAGGGACCACCTAGCTACGATGATCCAGGCTACGGTCATCTCAAGACTGGACTACTGTAACGCCTTCTACATTGGCCTTCCTCTGTTGGTGATCCGGAAGCTCAAGTTGGTACAAAACGCAGCTGCTCGGCTTCTTGCGGGAATTCCGATGAGATGCCACATAACACCAATCTTACTACAGCTGCATTGGTTACCAATTGAGCACCGGATCACTTTCAAAGTGATGGTACTCACCTTTAAGGCCTTGCATGGTCTGGGGCCGATGTACCTGAGGGACCGCCTCACCCCCTACCAACCCCAGAGATCCCTCCGTTCTGAGGACCAAGATCTATTGGAAATTCCCAGTGTCAAGACCTTGCGTCTAACAGCAACCAGACGCAGAGCCTTTACAGCAGTGGCACCATCACTCTGGAATACTCTGCCACCTGAAGTCCGTGCCTTGCGGGACCTATCAGCTTTCCGCAGGGCATGTAAGACATATCTGTTTCGACAGGCCTTTGATCTCTGATATTGTTGTTTTTAAATTGTTTTAAATTGTTTTAAATTGTGTTAGATTTTAGCCTGTTCTTGTAAGCCGCTCCAAGCCCCAGGGGAGTGGCAGCATATAAATTTGAATTATAAATAAATAAATAAGTTAGTAACTAAGTCTAGTTGTGTCCAACTCTGGGGGGTGGTGCTCATCTCCATTTCTAAGTTGAAGAGCCGGCGTTGTCCATAGATGCCTCCTAGGTCATGTGGCTGGAATGACTGCTCACCCTGCTCCTTGGAATTGGATCACCAACCTTTCAGTTAGCAAGTTCAGCAGCTCAGCAGTTTAACCTGCTGCACCACCAGGGGACCCAAAATGCCCTCTAAGGTACATTAAAATTTCAAAAAAATAGATTTCACCTAAACATTAGGTAGAACTTTCTTGTGGTAAAAGATGTTCGATAGTGGAATATCTTGCCTTGGAGTGTGGCAGAGTCTCTTTTTCTGGAGGTTTTTAAAGAGAGGCTAGATGACCATTTGTCATGAATGTTTTGACTGTGTTTTCCTGCATGATAGATGGCCTGTACTGTCTCTTCCAACTGTTTGATTTCATGATTATATGAAAGCATGAGGAGAAAGCTAGTTCACAGGCAAGAGTAGAGTCTTAAAAACCAGTTGTGTCATAGGCCATTCTCCATATTTATCTTTCACCCTAGGTTTGTACCCATCATCTCTGTAGGTTAAATGCAAAGCAACTGCAAGGTAGTGGTGACAATGATACTGCACCATATGTCACCGCTTACCAGATGGTCATTGTCTTGTACTTTGCATTACAGTTGTGATGGCACATTTTTACTACTTGTTCGGAACACATCTATTGCATCCAATGATCCTGTTCTTTTTATCTGCAGGTTTCGATGGCTCATCTCCCATTGTTCTCTTTCCTGTTTTCTATGGAACATGGTGCCCAGGCTCCTATATATTTTCAGTGCTACTACACTGAATACGTCTGCCTTTCGAATCCAGCCTGTGAAAAATTCAGGTGAAAACTATAATCATCATGATCAAATTCCAGTGGAGAAAGTCCCTATTTTGCTGTTACTTCTACTCTTCTTTCATCTCTTTCATACAAAGTAATTTTGTTTTTATGCAGATAACTGTCAAGATCACACCATACATTTCATACAGACTTTTGGACTGGTAGGAGAACCTGTGGTCCTGAATTGTCCTCCTTTCAGATATAAAGGCATGGATGCTTCTGGTCTGCTCTTCAACCTCACCTGGTACAAAAATGGTTCAACAGAAATGATTCCTTCAGAAAGCACAGGAAACAGAATATGGTCAAATGGAGATGATCTTTGGTTTTTACCAGCCTCTCTGGAGGACTCTGGGGATTACATCTGCATGCGAAGGTAGGCATCCAAGGCATGATAATATCAGCTATTAATTGTGTTACTGATTGTCTGCAAGAGTTACTGAGGACTTACAAGTGATGGCTTTTTCATGGCAGTTCTGTCATACTGTATTATGTGTTGATTTGATTTTCCCCTGTGGAATAGCTTGAAGAGGCACGATTTCTTCAGTGCAGATCATCCTTCTGCTGATACAGATCAAGGGTCTTAGATACTCATATTAGGCTAGAAGGTGACCAATTCATCACCTTCTAGCCTACCTCTGTTGATGTGCTTCAGTTGAGTCTTTATAAGTTGAGTTACTTACCCAAAGAAAAGAGTCAGGTAATGGTCCATTCCAAAAATAATTTTCAATGACTCACTCTCCGCATTACAAATCTCAGGATTCCATTGGATGGAACTGTGGTAGTTAAAGTGGTGTCAAGATACAGTAATTCTGCAGTATGGATGATTGTTGGAGTGGGAATTAAATCTTCCTAACTTTCAATCATGTAGGCAAGAACAAATAAAACAACAACTTTCCTTTCTGCAGTTGGAAATTGCAGTTTTTGATGACTATTTATCGTTTGTAATTTATGTTGGGAAAATACCCATGTGGAGTTTTGTGTGTGTAAAAAACAAGGAATAACTGCACTATATGTGCACTTCCATATTTTTTGTCCCATGGGCTTAAAAAATGAGTAGGATTGGGGATGTGAGTTTTTTAAAAGCAGAAAACTGATAAAGTAACTGACTTCTTCTCCCCCACATCTCCTTTTTCAACCAACCCCCTTTTCAAACAGCAGCCTCCATGTGTCCAGGGCATAGGCCAAAAGAAGGCTCACTCAAATCATTGATAATGGACAGCAAAAGCCTTTGTCAAGAGTATTCATTCACAAATGGAGAAAGCTGCTTTTAAAAGACTAAAAGTCCTTGAAACCCAATGCCAACCTTGCTACTGTCTTTGTTGGCTGGGATATTCTTTGAATTTTTTTTACCATAAGTAAACTTTTTCAGTTTCTGGCCACAAATAGAGAAAACTGAGGATTTCATTGCAGGTGGATAGAATCAGTCAAGAAAGCCATGGCCCTAAGTCTGCAGATCTGAGCAAGGTTGTTGATGATATGGTGACTCTAGGTCTCTCATTCATCATAAATTGTGCTCGCTGTGACAACAGTTAACAACAACAACAAACCTTTATTCTGTCCATGTTTCTGTTCAGGATGTCTGTCTAGGGAGGCTTAATGAAGTACAGAAATTGAAATTAGACTGCTAGTCCATTATTGCCACATGTTTGAACATCTTGAAGTGTACAGCACTTGCAGGTTAAAAGTCATTTCCACAAGAAATTCTCACTTCATTTACCCTTCTGATTGGAAAGAAGTGGAATGTGGAATGTTTATTACAGGAAATAGAGGGGGCTATTGTGCACCACCAAATAATTTTAAAGGGATCATTGTAAATAGCAAATGGAACACACAGTACCCCACAAATTATTTTTGGTGAATCCTGATAGTGATGAAACATTGAAGCCATTAACCTCTCAGCTATGTTCTAGTAGGGCTACAAGGTCAAAAATGGTTACAGGAATGGATATTGCAAAGGTGGTGGCACAGAGAAATATGGATTTGCTCGCCTCCTGTGGTGTTATAAAATATGCAGTGTCAAGAAAGATTACCTCACTAACCTCAACAGAACATGTGTAAAGGAATGTGCACAAGACTTCCGTTTAAATCTTAGGGGAAGGATATGTGTTGGAAGGACTTACTGAGAAGTTCAGCTACTAAGACCAATTCTGAACAAACATTGCTTCCATTCAGTACTTTCCAGGGACATTGTTTCCTAATGAAAAGTTCAAGTTGAGTTTATGCCAGTAATTTTATAGTTGCAATGAGAAGGAAAAAATACTTCCTTGGACCTAGTCTTAAATATAGATGCCACAGGCTTAAGCTGGAATTATATTGATTGCCTTTTCTCCAAGGATCTCTGGGAACCATAATTCTATTAGGTGTCTGAGATTTTAAAAATCTCATCATGTTTATTAGAACTCAGCTCCTAGAATTTTGGGGAGAAGCAATGATAGTTCAATTGGTATAGAAACCAATCTAAATATGCTCTAATAGCCATAGGTATGTATCACCCCCCCCCCTTTCCTGCAGGAATTCAACATATTGTTCTGATGTGTCACTTCATTTAACCATTGTTGAAAAAAGTGCTGCACAAGCTATTTCCTACCTTCAGAAGGCCACTGTATTGAGTTCTGGACGTCTTGTTTGCCCTGTCCTGGAAGATTTTATACAGAAGAATACAGAGTATGAACTGAAATGGTACAAGGTACGACTGTGATGAATTTCTTTGAGGCTGTGAGACACATGTCATGTGAAGAAAAGCTCACAGATATAAAAATGCTTTCTGCTCATGTGTGTTAGGCAACAAAGCATAGCCATCCCATGACTTTGCCATGTCTGTGTTTATTTCTGAGACTTTCAATGGCTCCCACATTCACTTATTTCCTATGTATAAGCATCCGCATGGTGCATTCTCCAACTTTAGATCTAAAGACTAAAGAAAACTGTATTAGCTTGAGATTTTATGTCTCGAAGTTAGCCTGTACCATGACTTCATTTCAATGTCAAGTAAAATCATGGCTTTTTATTAAGTCTTTGGAGTTTATTGATTTCTTTCCTAGTTTGCACATGTGCCCATTGTTGTTTTAGGTTGTTAATGTTTTTAGACTAACGTTTTTCCAACTATTTTTTACATTGTTTTAGAATGTTTAAACTGTAATCTGTGGCTAGGAGGTGGCATTTAACATAAACAAATAAATGTCTGAGGGGGCAAACCAATGACCATAAATCAGAGCTTGTCCAAAAATTAGCTAGGGCTGTGGTTCTCAACCTGTGGGTCCCCAGATGTTTTGGCCTTCAACACCCAAAAATCCTGACAGCTGGTAAACTGGTTAGGATTTCTGGGAGTTGTAGGCCAAAACACCTGGAGACCCACAGGTTGAGAACCACTGACCTAGGGAGAAATGGCCATTGAGGTAGCAAATGGTGAATGACAGCAGCCACATCTCCCTTCTGTTCCTTAGCTTTCATGTGTTTTTCTTAGTTGGAAGATAGACTTGCTGTGTGCCACACAGTCTATGTACCTACCCTGAAGTGGAAGACATATTAAAGGATGATATATGTGTCTCTTGACATATGAATTTCAGAGTTTTCTAAGGCAAAGAATACTCAGATGTGGTTTTTGCTATTTCCTTCTTCTGAAATGTAGACTTCAGCATCTGGTATTCATTGTCAGTCTCTCATCCAGATATTAACCAGGGCTGAGCTTGCTTAGTTTACCAGTATTGAAATAAGATTGGGCTGACAGCTTTTGGATATGGATTGAGGATGAGTCACCATTGTGTCCTTCTAAGGGAGCAAAATAGAATGAGCTGTTCCTGGATATCAAGGAAAAGTTATCTAGAAGAGCAACACATTTGGGGTGTTTTTTTAAAAATTGCATTTCACCATTAAATGTTTTGTTATCCTTTTTATTGTTATTTTAGGATTCCATGCTTCTGAAAATAGACAACAAGAAGTTTAAAACTAGAAGGGGTACAAATTATCTCACAATTCCTTCAGTGTCAGTGGATGATTCGGGCTTCTATACTTGTCAAATGGCCTTTGAGTATGATACCGTGAAATATAACATCACCAGGACTATTCAGTTGCAGATACTTGGTAATGAATTACTATTTCTTGTGCTGTTGGAGTGTACTGTTTACCCTCCATTATTTTCTTTCTTTTCAAAAATAAATCCAAATTTTGTCTGTAGACAATTTGTGCTTTCTACCAAGACAAAATTGCATTTTCCAGGATTTGTATGAGGGGCAATTGCTCATTGACAGTGCATAGGCTTTCAAAGCAAAAAGCCCTGGGTTGAAATCCTTGCTATTGCTGTCTAGGTACTTTATATGTGATACATGTACTAGAAAATGAAAAAAAAAGAAAAAAGATTGCAGTAATAGCTATGATGCCCAAACAGAAGAGCACTGCTCTTTTTACAAAAAAATGTAGAAAAAATAAATGGCAATGGCATAAGAATATATATACAGGCAGTCCCCAAATTGCAAACATCTGACTTACAAACAACTCCTAGTTAAGAACGTGGATCAGACAACAGGCAATGAGTGAAATCTACCCCTCAGAAGGGAAATTCTCTCCAGAAAGAGTTATCATGAGGAAAAGGTATCTCCACTGAAGCTTTATCGCCAATCCTTGTTTCACAACATGCTAAATTGTTCAAAATCCAGAGATCAAGGGGACAGAAAGTGAGGTGAAATCTTCTGAACAGGGGCACAGACAGCAAAACAAACACCACAGGAGTGTTAACCCTTCCCTATGCTATCCAAAGCGCTATCTATCTATCTATCTATCTATCTATCTATCTATCTATGGCTGGAGTTGAACTTAAACATTTAACTTACAAACAAATTCAACTTAAGAACAAACCTACAGAACCTATCATGCTTGTAACTTGTAGACTGCCTGCATTTGAAATCTTGGGCAGTGGCTGTCAGTCTGTACACAACAAAGATTGAAAACATGTGGCCACCCAGAGGTTGTTGCCTGTAGCTCCCAATATACTTTCCCAGTTGACTATGCCACCTGAGACTAATGATAGCAGTTGGCCAACCACATCTGGAGGGCAACATATTCTCCACCAGTGGTGTAGGTAATTTGTGAATTACAGGAATACAGCCTTGGTAAAGGGCAACTGCCTAAATAAAGGGGGGCACCTACAAGTTTAGAATCAATGCAATTTGAGACTGCTTTAATTTTCATGGCTTAATGCCATGGAATTATGGAACTTGTTTCTTTAAAAGTCTTTTCTGCCAAGGAGTGCTGGTGCCATGCCAAACTGCAAATCCCAGAATCCCATAGCATTGAACATGGCAGTTGAAGCCGTGTCAAACTGCACGGCTTTAACTGCACAGCTTTAACTCCCAGAATGTCTTTCCAGGGAAGGGTGTGCAGGATTGGATTCCAATAAGTTCACTGCTAATAGGCATGTGAAAATTCCAAAAATAACATTCTTATATAATAATAATAGTAATAGTAATAATAATAATCCAAAAATAACATTCTCAGTCTCTACCCAAGAAACACATATTGGATTTTGAGATTTCACTTGCCAGCGATATCACAATTCTATAGCCACATGCATTCAAACTTTGACATTATTTTTTAAAAAACAGCCCTGAGATTTATAGTTTGCAGAACTGTGTGACAGGTGTAAAACCCTGTACTTTTGCAGAGAAATTACAAACACGTGGAATATACACACCCAAGACTATTAATGTGCACAAAAGATAAAAGAAACCTCAGACTGTCTCAGCATTACAGCTGTCAGTGTTGAGTGCTATGCGCTTACCCAACACAACTTTCTTGTTCTGTCCTTCTGATAAAATGTATTTTGAAATTGTACTGTGGAAGACAAAACTATTTGCTAACGGTTCAAGGGCACTGTTGGGAACCCCCTGCCCTTTTTGAGAAAAAATTGAGGCTGTTTTGCATTAAAAAGATGAGTCTGGTTAGAAAAGCAAAGAATTTATTTCACAATAGAATCCTTGGACCAAAAAATAAAAAAGCGCTTTTCCTTCTGCAAGAATTTTGAGTTCTCTTGATTTTCTTGTTGGCCAGTAGATGGCATTTATGTATCGGGTTTAGTGATTAAGCAGCATATTTTTATTTTCCTTTCAAACAAGTTAGGAATTAGGAAAACCCTGCTGACTATATATGATTCCACATATACAGTACAGTCTGTATCCTTAGCAGAGTTTGAAAAGGTTTCACACACACACACAGCAATGTGTTAGTACTGAAGTTATCAAAATGTGCAAAATTTGACAAGATCCTCCTCTTGCATTTTTGAATTTGTATCAAGGTGATGATTTTGCTTAGAAAGTAATTGATTTGATAGTTTGCTTTGGTGTAGCTATGTGTACATTTCCCCTTTCCGCCATTAAGATCAAGGTAGTACACAGTACACAACTTTCCTCCTCTCCACATTATTCTCACAACCCTGAGAAGTTGATCAAAATGAGAGGGAATGTCTGTCCCAAAGTTATTAATGATCTGGGTTCAGTGGGGATTTCAACCTTGATATCTGAAGTGCCAGTCCAGTGTTCTAACAATGATATTGTAAGCCGCATTGAATCCCTTGGGAGATGCTAGCGGGGTACAAATAAAGTTATAATAATAATAATAATAATAATAATAATAATAATAATAATAATAATATACCACACTGGTATTGAGTATTTGTTCACAGTAGCACAGTCTGTTCTGAATTTCTAATTCAGAACAACCACCTCTCCCCTCTACACACAGACAATATGACAAGCCAGGTTTATATGTATCCAGGGTGGGAGAAATAACTCTTGTCTGTTTGAGGTAAGTGTGGATGTTGCAATTGGCTACCGTGATTAGCATTGAATGGCCTTGCAGCTTCAAAGACTGGCTGCTTCCTTCTTTGAAGCTGCAGGGCCATTCAGTGCTAATCAAGGTGGCCAATTGCAACATCCACACTTGCCTCACAGACAAGAGTTCTTTCTCCCACCCTGGACATTCCACAGATAAATAAGCCTCACTTGCCTAATTTCCAACAGCCCTCACAACCTCTGAGGATTCCTGCCATAGATGTGGGTTAAATGTCAGGAAAGAATGCTTCTGCAACATGGCCATACAGCCTGGAAAATTAACAGTAACCCAGTGATTCTGGCCATGAAAGCCTTTGACAACGCACTTAAGTTGTATTTTTACTCCAGTGAACCAACCCTGGAATGAAGGTCCATGGTTTGTTTAGCTGTTCCTACTGAAAGCAGGAGTGACTGGTACATACTACCACATTCCTTGTTCATGACATGCCAACTTTTTTTGTCATGTCATGTGAATAAATCACTAGGTTTATTTAGCAGATAGATAGGTTGGTGCTCAAAAGGAATTATTGGACTTAGCCTTACAATGCAACCCCTGATTTTTGATTACGTTGTATCCTCTTGTAGTGAACGGTGGAGGTAGTGTGAATATTATGTTGAGTTGATAATATATTGACAAAGCTAATGTACAACTTTTACACTGTGAATTCTCACTAGGTCAGAAGAAAAAAAGCAGACCTGTGATTGTCTATCCAAATCAAAACATTACTTTGGCAGTTCTCGGTAAGACCACATGCAAGTGGTGTTAATGTCTAATTACTTAATGTAAGGTCATTCTTTTTTATAGGAGCATGCAGTTAGAATTATAATGGGGCATACTGTCCATTAAAATGGTTTATGTGTCTTAAGTTGTTGAATTATCACCCTTATCCTGGTTACAAGTCATGTTGACAAAATACCCTCAAATTGCACATCATCTGTTGTGAACATGATTGTCACCCTCTCCTTCTGCAGTCAATTCAATGTTTAACAGATAAAAACCAGGACACCTGTGTCCCAGCAGTATCAGAGTGTGCTCAAGACAGCAAAAAGTATTCATGAGGGAGTGAGTACACATAATGCGAGGAGAGGCTGCAAAAGTTTGCTTTTGCTCGAGCTTACAGGGGATGAGAAGCTTTTACTCTCTTCTGCTCATTGTCAAGTTAGAATCATAGAATCTTTGGGTTGGAAGAGACCTCGTGGCCCATCCAGTCCAACCCCCTGTCAAGAAGCAGAAAAATCGCATTCAAGTTAATTGTATGCAAACCATTTTTACATTTTGGACTTAGTTTGCAGCTGCTATCATAAGGGAAAGACAAAAGAAAACAATGACAGTTTAAAAGAAAATGAAAAAGCAAGACAGTTGGAAGGTATATGTTCAGAGGAATACAGGCAAATGATGCAGAGAGTAAGAAAGGCAAGGCTATACAAAGTTCCCCTCATGAGATCTCTGATTCTATGGGAATCTGGGATTCTTGTGAGTGGCCCTCTACTCCTGAGATTGGAGCAAGCTTTGTATAGACCTCCCTCATGTGTAGTGGTTGGTTGTGAGCTGGCTTGGCAAATGAGAGGATCATGTTGTATTATTTGTAAAAGCCGGTATAATCTATGTCCCTTATGTATACCATCAACTATCTCTTTTACTTCCTTTCTTGGTCTAGATTTATATTATCTTTCTTTTCCCAGAAACAGATGTAGCATGTAGCAAAGGATAAACACCATGCAAAACTAAACTCTAGTATAGATTTTCTTAAATATATATATATCTTGAAGAAGTAAGACTGCTGAGTGTTTTGCATTAGAATCAGATGACACAATTGTATGAAGGTTACTGAGGTTTTATTTGTCACATCTAAGCCATTTTCTCCTTGTCTTTGCCTCTTTGGGCATAACAACTCTAGTGCCTGATGTTCTTTTTAGAGAGCCAGCTCCAATGATAACTGTAATTGTAGAGGGCTGATTACATAAGAGGCTGTGCTGATGTCACAGAAGGTTCTTGTGCAGCAATGAAATATTCCCGGACATAAACAGTTGCACTGACTCACGTCTATCTGGATTATTGGAAGGCAGTCCTGACTCAAGAAGGATGTGGTTAAACCCAAAGTTGCTAGCCAAGATAAACAGAGCAGGAGGTCAAAGCAACTATCTTGATTTGTTTGCCATAATGAAATGCAGAATTTATAATTGTTACAGACGTAAACAACCAAAGCTTTATTGCACCTTTAAGAGTAGCTGGTTTTTGTTTTGCATATGATAATGTGGACTGTAGTCTATTTCATTTTCCGTATGATCAAACAGGTTTTAGCACACCGAAAGCTTACAGAAACATTTTGGTTGCAAAGCTGTCCCTAGACCTTGCCACCCGCTAACATAGTTCCTCTTTCTCTATCTCACAAAATAATAGCTAAGGCCCATCCAGAGAGGGCCCAAAATGTGCCAAAATGGTATTTGATGAGATGAAAATATTTGATCCAATTGCTTGGTCTAATATTTTAGTATAGTAAAAGTATACATTTAATTTGAAAATGTATACATATTTCAATCATTGAAAACTTTGATAAAGCTGTTAATTGCAAAAACACATTTGTTAATTGTGTAACAAGAGAGCCAATAATGTTTAGCAGCATTAAGTGAAGTTGCTACAAATATCAACAATTTGCCAAAGTTTCTCCCCTTTGTCTTTCTCCTTAGAATAGCAGCGAAGGCTGGAGTGGAGGGAGGACAAATTTAAAATAATAATAAAACAAGGGTCACAAGCCAGTGTAGTGTTGTGGTTTGAGAGTTGGTTTGATTTCCCGCTCTTCCATGGAAACCCAATGGGTGATCTTGGGTGAGTCACACAAGCCTAGCCCCAGAAAACCCCATGATAGGGTCACCGTAAGTCAGAAACAACTTGAGAACAAGCAATAGCAAATAAAGCAAGCTAAAATAGTAGGGAGTCACATTAGGTTCCCTGACTCTTGCAACATAGTGCAAAACAAAAGGACTGCAAAGGTGGCTCATGGTGGTGGAGGCTCCTTCTATGGAGGCTTTTAAACAGAGGCTGGATGGCCATCTGTTGGGGGTGCTTTGAACGTGATTTTCCTACTTCTTGGCAGGGGGTTGGACTGGATGGTCTATGAGGTCTCTTCCAACTCTAGGATTCTATGATTCTATGTGGCAGTGAAACCACTGGCTTCCAACTTCAACTTTAAAGGAGCTCTCCAAGATGATGAGTCTGATTCCAAAAAAGGTCAAGCATCGTGGCCATCTCATTTAAAGCTAGCTAAATCCTGGAATGATTTGCCTGAGCATTGCTTCTTCTTCTGTTGGGAGAAGACTGTAGTGATAACAAGTTGCTCCAGGCTCAATGGCAAGCATGCTTTTCTCCCAGCGCTTGATAATTTTAACTGCCAATCCAGTTTGCTTCTTTGGTGGGAGAGTACCAATATGTGTCCTTTGACTCAGAAAACAAAATGTCTTCAACCAATTCTGACTGATACCATAGTAAAATTGACCAAATATGAGCTGCCATCTTCACAATGGCATTATATCACAGAATATTTGACAACATTTGACTCATCAGCCAACTGGTACGACTGTTTCATACTCACAGCTGGCCATGTGGATTACCTATTAAAAGCTGGCAAAAACACAGCTCTCTACTATTCTTGACCCCATAATAGATTTATCTCAAGGAAATTTATGTCAGAACTGCATCCTGTGCTCTGTATTTGAAAGAAATTAATCTGAAAGCAATTAAACTGATGCCTCATTATTCTTCTGGGTTGAAATAACTGTGTGTTCCATTGATTTTCAGATATTTCTTTTTCATTTCCTTTCTAACTATTTTAACCTTTGCATTTATTGTTAAAATAGATTCTCGACTAACCATCCCATGTAAAGTGTTTGTTGGAGCAAATAGTCATACTTTCACGGATGTCTGGTGGCTAGCCAACAAAAGTTATATTGATGTAGCATATAAAAGCAAACGAGTTACTGAAGGAGAACCTCAGTAAGTATAGCTGAAAACTCATACTATGTTTTCCTTCCCAGTGGATAATTTTATAAAAGATCTACAAATCATCAGTTTTTATAATATAGGTAGGTTTCTATAATATAGGTAAACCCTAAACGGTTTGGGACCCACCAATCTCCATGACCTTATCTCTCTCCATGAACCAGCCTGAGCTCTTTGATCTTTGGGGGAGGCCCTCCTTTTGCCCTTGCCAGTATCACAGGCCTATCTTGTGGGCACAAGGGAGAGAGCCTTCTCCTTTGTGGCCTCCCAACTCTGGAACTCACTGTCTGGAGAGATTAGGAAAGTTCGCACCTTAGAAACCTTCAAGAAGGATCTCAAAACCTGGCTTTTCCATTGCGCCTTCAGAGAGTAGCCACACAACCATTCACTATTGCTCCCCTCAATGTTTTTGTTCCTGGAGTACACTTCCCCTGCTTGTATGAAGGCCTGTTTTTTACAACCCCATTTCTTTATGAGCTCTCCTTCACAAATAATCTGCTCCTCTTTTATCTCACCCTAGGTTTTAGCATTTTATCTTGCACATGCGCCCTGCTCATTGTCATTGTGATTGTGGATATTGTATTTTTATATTGCTAATTGTATAAATTTGTTTTATGTATTTTACTGTGTTGTCGTTTGTGTCTTTGGTTTTTATTTTATTGTAATTTGTTGTTTGGGCTTGGCCTCATGTAAGCTGTTCCGAGTCCCCATTGGGGGAGATGGTGGTGGGGTATAAATAAAGTTTATTATTATTACTATTACTATTACTATTATTATTATTAGGTTACAGTGTTTGCCTCAGTGAACTATGGAACAAATCCCATTTCAAAAGAATAGGGAGAAAATGGTACTTGCTACACCAAAAAATAACATTTGAGATTTCTTTAAAGAGATATTCATATTAGAATATGATTCAATGAGACTATGATAGCAAATGTTACTCCAGTGGTTTTGGTATTGGGCAGGGTTTTTCAAGACTAGGCTTTGGAGACCATACTTGGTCACTGAAACCTTGGAGAGTCACAGTTTTTCAACCTCAGAGGAAGGCAAGGAAAAATCTCAGAACACATCTTGCAAATAAAGTCCTGTGATAGGCTTGACTTAGGGTTGCCATAAGTTGGAAATGACCTGAAAGCACAAAACAACAGAATACAGTATGCAGTGAAAGAAAGATATTAGCTGAAAGATAGATCATCTTGTTTCCATTCAGAAATGTGCAGGTTTGATTCCTGACATCCCCAAATGGGACTGAAAAAACTCTGTTTTAAATACTAGATGCTCTTGATACTCTTGCAAAACTACCAGGCCTCTGATCCTGCCCCCCCTCCCCCCACCTCCCAATTCCACCAAACAGCTGATTTCCATCATAACAGGTCATTTCCACCACAAAATATATCAGTTTTCCCTTTCAAGCTTCCCACATTTCCAGTGCTGACCTCTCTGAAACCTTGCAATATAGTTCCAAATGAGTGATAGTAAATACATCCAAGGCTACCCCTTTGGACTTCATCCTTGCATAGGATTTTGGACCTATTTTTTCCTAGCTGGGGTTTATGGGAGTTGTAATCCAATATATGTTGGGGCATTCTGACTGGGAAAGGCTGCTCTAAGCATTCCATTACATTGTACAATTAGTGCAACTTGACATCACCTTAACTGCCATGGCTCAATGATATAGAATCATGGGAGTTGTAGTTTTGCAAGGTCTCTAACCTTCTCTGCCAAAGAGTGCTGGTGCCTCGCTGAACGACAGTTCCTATGATTTCACAGTATTGAGACATGGCAATGTGGTGTCAAACTGCATGCATCCTGACTCACTACTGAAAATGTATCAAGTCAATTTTTCTCACTGTTTTGAATGCAATATATATACATTTAGAAGTGAAATAAGTTTACTGCACTCTCATGCACTGTAAAAGCACTGGAGCTATAGATGCCGTCATCAATAAAAATAATCCTGTAAATTGCACTTTTTCATTTTAGGAAATTTGTAGAAAATGGTGACAGTTATATTGAGGTTCCACTGATTTTTGATCCTGTCAAGGAAGCGGATTTCAATACACATTTCACATGTGTTGCTCAGAATAGGATTGGGCATCAAGTGCAAGCAACACATGTCAAACAAGAAGGTAACTGTCTTTGCAGAAATACAGTTGTTGCCACAGCAAGTTTATTAATGGAATGAATATTCCAAGGGGCCTTTTTTTTTGCACATAATAGTTATATTGCAATTGTAATTATGCAATTTTAGTGGGGGCATTACAGTTAAAATTCCAGTGATATAGTCTCCAGTTCTTATTCCATTAATCCTTCCATGCTATCTGTGAATAAGCCCACGAGGATTCTCATTTTGCATGTCTGGAAATAAGATGGAGGATAACTTAGCTTCAACCTGCCAGTATCTCCTTGGCTGTGATGGGCACGTAGCTGTATCTTTTGATTTCTCACCACTTCTTTATGAATTCCCTTCTCATATTGCATGCCTAGGGGAAAGGGGGAAAGACAATAAGAGAAAGTAAAAGCATGTACATGTACAGTTGATCAGTATTGCAAAGTGTCTGTTAGGCACATTACCCCTTGGTTATGCTATGTATTTGTCGTTGGTTGGGTTTCCTTTGGCAGTCAAAATATATAAAGCATTGATCATATTGGTAACACATAATATTTGAGCTTGGTTAATCTCAAATAGAACAGATGCATGGAAGCCATGCAACTTGTCTGTCTTGAATTCCCAAATTAAGTTGACATTGAGTCAATTGAAGTTATGCAAGTGCTAGGTTATTCAAATTCCCAGTTATTTTAGTTGGGGCTAACATCAGGATCCTGGGTATAGTTTTCCAAACTAACATAGCTTCCTGGCATATGATCACATTAACAAAGGTGTTACTAAACTAATTTAAATACTAAGCAAGACACTGGACCAGGGAATGCCCAAAAGAGTTTTTCAAGAGTGGATTTGATGACTAGGTTCAAAGATGCTTCAAATGCCTGGCAGCATCAAAAACCAATGCAGATCAAATTCGAAGTAGGGATAAAGAGGATATCCAACATATTTGAAATATGATTAAAATAATGTTGTTAAGTGCTGAGAAACACTGGTGGATGTATACTGGACTGATGAGAATCTTCAGAGTTTGGAATTTAGTGCAGTGTTTCAGACAAAGTTACTTTACATATGCACATAGTTACATATGTATCATATTATTACTAAAAGAGTTACAACCTGGCACATATTACTTTGAGTATCACCCTTATATTAACCTTCCAGTCCAATTTTGGTTGGGCTCAGAATGAGTCTCATATAACATTATTACTGATTGGTGAGCTTCTACTCTGTTTAATTATCAGAGGTTGCCTTATTCTTTGTTACAAGTGTGATGCTCTAGAGCAGGGATCCTCAAACTTTTAAAACAGAGGGACAGGTCACAGTTCCTCAAACTGTTGGAGGGCCGCATTATAATTTGAAAAAAACATGAATGAATTCCTGTGCTCACTGAACATATATTATTTGTAGTGCAAAAACACTTTAAAACAATACTATAATTAAAATGAAGAACAATTTTAACAAATATAAATTTATTAGTATTTTTATGGGAAGTGTGGGCCTGCTTTTGGCTGATGAAATAGGATTGTTGTTGTTGTTGTTGTTGTTGTTGTGTGCTTTCAAGTCATTTCAGACTTAGGTTGACCCTGAGCGAGGGCCGGGTAAATGAACTTGGAGGGTCGTATCCGGCCCCCGGGCCTTAGTTTGAGGACCCCTGTTCTAGAGCAATACTTATTAAATGTGTGTCCAGACCCCAAATGGGTCCCCTTCAGCTCAGTGTTAGGGTCAATAAAAAATGGTGAATGCTATCTGGGCATTTACACAAATCTGTTAGCAACAACATGCAGTGTGCACATTGGAATAAATAAGAAGCCCTGCTGTAGAAGACTGCTTTTGCGCTGATCTAGCTAGATTGCTCTGGTTTCATATTCTTTTAGATATTAACTAAATGTCTTTATGCAACAATAGAAGTTTCTTCCTGGTTCTTGTTTATGTAACTGTCATTTCTGGGAAGATTTGCGGGAGTGCAGGAGATTAGACAAATAATACTCTTGCACTCTGTTGGGTGGAGCAATGTTCATGTCCTACTTTATAATTAATTTTTTTCTTGTCTTTTTATAGAACATCCTTTCTCTTGGTACATGGCAGTCATTCCTGTGGCTTTAGCTACTGTGATCGTGGGAGGAGTCTGTGCCTATAAATGCTGGAGGAAAAGATCTTTCCAAGGATATGTACCAGCGCCAGCTAAGTCATAAAGAAAACATTTTAGCTTCAAAAACCTTATCAGGATACCAGAAATGCTGAAGAAATAGGGTAATAGCTCTGATAGAACACCTAAACACTATTTCTTCCCACTATAACAATGCAATAAACTTTCAATAAATGGCATAATCTGATCTCCAAATGTTACTGGTTCATCTTTATGTGCCCCAAGATGCCAGCTTCCTTTAAATAGATGGATTTGCTTATTTTAGAACAAACGCATTACTTTCTATTATTAGGCCCTTAGGTAGAAACCCTCTATACAGGAAGTTCCCAAGTTACAAACATCCAACATACAAATGACTCCTAGTTAAGAATGGGGGGAAACAACAGGAAGTGAGAGAAATCTACCCTGTGGAAGGGAAATTCACTCATGAAAGAGTTATCATGGGGGAAAGGTGTCTCAACTGAAGCTGTATCACCAATCCTTGTTTCCACAGTGTGCTAAATTTTTCAAAATTCAATTATCACAGGGACAGAAAGTGATGTGAAATCTTCTGAACAGGGGTACAGACAGCAAAACAAACACAAGCTTAGATAGATAGATAGATAGATAGATAGATAGATAGATAGATAGATAGATAGATAGATAGATAGATAGATAGATAGATAGACAGACAGACAGACAGACAGACAGGCTGGAGTTACACTTAAAAATGTACCTGTTCCAACATACATACAAATTCAAATTAAGAACAAACCCACAGAACCTATCTTGTTCACAACTTGTGGACTGTCTGTACTACCTCCTTCTCAATCACTCTTTCCTTTTCTATGGCAAGAACATTAACAAAAGATTTTAAAGCTCAAATTTCTTCTAAATGCCTTTTAGATTCAAAATGTTACACCATTCATAAAATTCTTGTAAATAAAAAGGAGAAATTCACTTCTTGGAAGTCTACAGGAGTGGTGGTTGACTGTTACAATGTCACAGGTAACCCCTGTTCTGTAAACATTTAAGAAATCTGTACGACCAATTACATATGATGCAGCATTATATCTATGGTGCTATAAAGTGATTTCAGCCAGATCACCTCATCCCCACTGATCAATGGGTTGAAGGGAGTTCATTCTCTTGTTGATCAATAAGTGCTTGCTTGATGCTCACCTTTAATGCAAGTGATCTATGGAGCCTCAGCGTTTGAAACAGGGGTTCTTTTATTGCTCCACATGTTGGAGATTGCTCACAAGAAGTAGTACTGGAAATGTCAAGCAGCCACTGGGTTGTTGTAGGTTTTTTCGGGCTATATGGTCATGGTCTAGAGGCATTCTCTTATGACGTTTCGCCTGCATCTATGGCAAGCATCTTCAGAGGTAGCCACTTCTTGTTTGACAGGGGGAATCCCAGTAGCTGCTTACTGCGGGAGGAGAGGGTGGGGGGGGTACACTTTCATGGTCTCTATATAGTTCCTAAAGGACCTCTTCACATGGATGAGGTCCCGTGGGGTGATTTGCTAGCCTCATAGTGCACAACCTATGCAATCCTCTGAGTCTTGGATTTTGTGCAGGAAATCAGTTTCTGCTGTTTGGAAAACAGAGAGCTGATTCTTGGCATAGTTCTTAGGGAAAGAAGAGTTTTGGCATTATGGAAATTTTGGAGCTATGTGTTGGCAAACTGCAGGGAAGCAGTGTTTGACTGAAGATATGTTCTTCTCCAGGAGATGACGGAGGAAGAATGTAATGTATGCATGAGGATGAATGCATGTACATGTAGTGTGAATGCTGAGTAAAAATGTAACTCCCCTTTCTTTGTTTGTTAGCCAGTGTAACTGTAGCTTTTTTGTGGATTCAATGTAGTTGCATAGAATCTGTATGTTTGTATGTCTAATGTCAATAGATGTGTACAAGTGTAAAAGTTCTGTAAAAATTCTGATATACCCCCTCAAATTGGAAATTGCAATAAAAAGAACCTATGCTTTAAAGTAATTGAAATATTATTCATGACAAATTGGTGAGAAAGATGGGATATTCATTTCCAATGAAAGTTATTCCTAACATAAATTGGCATCATGAACAGGATTATTCTTTTTCAGTATGAGAGAGCAGAAGAACATTTTTGGTGTCAGAAGTGGGGTATATTATTCATTTCAGTGAGAGAGAGTGACAAATTGGAGCAGTATATTCTATTCAATGTCAGCAGGTTATTCTTTTCAGAGAAGGATTTTTCTGTTATAACTTAGAGAAATAAAGTGTTTAGATCATCTTCAAGGAAGTATTGCAGAAGACGAAAAAACAAGGGAGAGTCCCAATTCTCTGGAAAAGTAAATATGCTGGAGTGGTTTCAATGGATTGGAATTCCCATAATTCCCATATGGAGGGGGAAGAAGGTCTTTGGTGTAGAAGCTTGAGTGTTGTTTTGTTTTTAAGCCACAGAAAGACTAAAGATGTTTAAGGATTTAAAAAAGGGGAATTAAGCGAAATCTTTCCAATGAGGGGAGATAGCATTTGGAGTTGTTTTTACATCAAATTGACATAAAAGGGGGCTTTTTGGTCAAAGGTCGGAGGTAAAATATGTAGCAGAAGTTGCAATTTAGGGCAAGATGCAGTTTTTGCACCTTAAAATATAGGAAAAGAGATATAAATGAATTTTAAATTTTGTTCTTCTCTAGGAGATGATGGAGGAAGAATGGTGATGTATGCATGAGGATGAATGCATGTACATGTGGTGTGAATCCTGAGTAAAAATGCAATTCTCCTTTCTTTGTTTGTTAGCCAATGTAACTGTAGCTTGTTTGTGGATTCCGTGTAGTTGCATAGAATCCGTATATCTGTATGTCTAATGCTATTCTTTGTGTAAAAATGTAAAAGTTCTGATATACCCTCTCACACTGGAAAATGCAATAAAAAACCTATGCTTTGAAGTTATTGAAATGTTATTCATGATAATTTGAGGACATGACACCAAAATGACTGTCTCACGGGGGGCGGGGCAACCCTTCCATGGCCTTCAACCTGCTCCAGTGTTTACTTTTGACCAGTAATTAAACTGTCTCATTAAGATTTGAGCTTTTACTGGGAGTATTCCTAGCTCAGCCATTACCTGCTCCAGTGGTGATGCTGGGGGTCTCCCTGCTCTCATCTCCCATTCCTCCCCTCTCCTCAGCAGGCCTGCTGTCCCTCGGCCATGATTTCTTTTCCTCCTGCAGCTCTTGGGTCCAAACCAGGCACTGGTCCAATACTGTATCATTATATAAATGATTACTGCTGCCAGTGGAAGGGGAGCACTTGTCGATCATAGGAAGGGATGAAGACCTCTGCATGGGAAAAAACTCTTACCTTTCCTTTTGCTCCGATTGCTACTGCAATTCCTGCTGGGACTGCTTTGGGGAAAAAGAGGCAGCAGATTGCCAGATGGCATCCCCAGGCTGGTGAAAGGGCTGATTCCATGAATACCAGGGTTGTGTTTGCTATTAGCTTCCCCATATTGGGTGATACCAACCCTACTGATGCCACTGCCCACTGGCTGACCTTGGACATGTCACAGTCTCTTAACCTCGAAGGAAGGAATAGGAAAACCCCTTTGAACAAATCTTGCCAATAAACCCTTGTGATATGTTTGCCTTAAGGTTGCTATTAGTTGGAAATGATGTGAAGGCACGCAACAACAACATAGTCATGGATATGACTTGATTGTTATCATATTTGTATCCCACTTTCCTGAAATTGGCACTTCAAGTAGCTCACAATTTAAAAGAATAATGCAAGTTAAAAAAAGATGAAAATTGAAATAGAATTAAACGCATCTCAGTATTAAAACATGTCACATCCCAAATTAAAAGAATAAGATACAATTTAAACCAGTTCAGCTAAAAAGTCACCTAGTCTGTTATTGAAAACCTGTTTGTTTTTTTTTAAATGTCTGCTAGAATAAAAAGATTTTAGTCTGCTAATGGAATGACAAGGAAGAGGCCTCCCTGGAAAGGTAGTTTCAGAGCTTAAGGATAGCCACTAGGAAAGCCCTAGTAGATAGACATATAAACTCAGGGTTAAATCTATAGAGCTTAGAGTCAGGATGAGAAACATTGATGAGGCCGGGATTGGATTTTTGGTTTCTAAAATTTGGTGGCTACCACTTAGACTACCAAACATTAAAAAAATGAATCAGAAATGTCTGAATTTTTTAAAAAATGGATATTTTTATTGGGTTATAGGGGAGCCTATAACCCAATCCTGAGGATTTCTAGGAGCAGAAGTTCACACTGTTTTCTTTAAAGAAACATTGGTGGGGTGTCCAAGAACTCGAGAGCTTCTGAAAGGACCTGGAAGGGATTTGATGCCCCTTATCAGGCTGTATTTTACTAGTATAGAGTTATGAATGCTTTAAAAAAAAAGAAAGAAATGGCACAAGGAGGATGTGGTCAGAGCACTTTTTTGAGATCTGGAGGGGAAAACAGTAACCACAAACCCTTAGAGATTATATTCTCACACAGTATTTGCATATTTTCTTTATAACTTCAACCAAGAAAAAAAAACGCAATGATTCAGAGGTCCTCTGCCAATGATTATTTGCATGTGTTAAATTAGTCAAACTGATTATTTTTGGATACAACAACACGAATCTTTCCCTAAACTTTCTCTTCAAGTCACCTCGTTCTGTTTTTTAAAGGTTACAGCCCCTTTGAAGCCTGCCTAGAGATAGTGCTCTACTTCATCTAATAATGAAGTAGAGCACTATCTCTACTTCATTATGTGTATGCATTGTTCATAATTTTGATGTCATGGCGAATCATGGCTTCTTATGACATCAATGCACACATATTCTCATTAGGAGGCTGAGGGGGTACGAATCACACCAGGTGACACTGTCAGAAAGTGTTCCACAAAAATGAAGAGCCTCCAACCCAAAAAACAGGACCTGGCTAAGAAGTGAGAACATGCTGGACGCTTGTCACTCTAATGCTATTGCTCCTGCTTTGCTCCACCTCATTGGTACAGCAGATATTGAGAGACATCAGTCCCAAATGATCTGGACTGGAAAGAACTGGAGTGGCAGTGGACAGTTATTTCTCTCTTTCACAAAATACCTTTCTTTCAGGGGGAGAGAAGGAAACTCTACCCCAAAAGCTAAGGTGGCTGTTAATGGGTGGACTATGGTGAAGAAAACTTATGATAAGTTCATCTTTGGGTCACTATG